GTGTAGCTGCTTTTGGCATACTGAGATATACTGAAACATACGAAGGCAATTTTGAATCAAACGGTGTGATAGTGTCAGAATACAGCAGACTTACAGGCAGCGACAAAGCGGGAACAGAATTTGTTTCAAAGCGCCGAGAAAACACCCCAACAATTCTAGATTTATGGATTAACTTTCCGTTTAAAATTCTTGAAAGCCCTGTTGACATCTTTCTCGTTTTTAATAATCCAAAATTGTGACGTGTGTTCATTTTTTTTTCTTCTGAATTCTGCATTCGTTTCTGCGATTTGAACGACTTTCAAGGAGCTGTAAAAAATATTTCTTTCCTCGACACATTCAAATGACATTTCTTACGAAGGAGACGAAGAACCAAGCAAAGGGATCCTAAAACTACGACCCACAAGACAAGTGCTTGACTGTCTGAATGGAGAATTTCTTAAGGAAATACCAGTTGCTAAGTTTATCAAAAAATTATAAACTTTTTATGGAACCCGAAAGTATATTACCGTGTTATCAAGAGCCAGCCACTGACCCTAATATTATATTTCATCAAGATTAATTTCTTTATATATACTTCTATCTACACATTTTTGCAATTTATACCTTCCTACATCCGGGCTCTTTCCCATTGGAACAACACATACGAATTATAGTTTTCTATATTCTAATCTTTAGGATTCTATATACTGTAGAAAAGACACTGTAGTTGTCGTAAACTTTAAAAGCCGTTTATTAATTTTTCATCTTCAGTATCTAAATAACTGACATTGTGACATTTCTAACGAAATGAAACTAACATTTTACGAAGAACTCTACAGATGTTGTCATAACCGAAGATTGTAACTGACTATGAACATATCTGTGGAATAGAATTCAATGATGATTTTTATGACGAAAATGGATTTTTGAATTTCGTAACACCGTACCAGCTTGTGACGTCCGACAACTCCAGGTGAGAAGATCGGATTGCACAACGGACCGGCCTCCCGACTGCATTTTGCAAGCTGAGCGGCGCTGGAGACCGACGTCTGGAAAGTTTCAAGCGTCGCCCCAGCAGGGAGGACGCGGTCTCTGTATGTCTTCGGCTGGCCTATGATGCAACACTTGCAGTCAGAGAGGAATCCTCAAGAAGCAATGAAAGTCGAATGAAGAATTTTACTTCCCAGCAAGATAAAATAATTTTCATTCGCATAATCTTTTTCTCAGCAACAGATTTTCCACGATATATACATATATATTGAACGTGATGAAATCAGTTCACACCCTCAAACCTTATTTAGTTAATATCCATTTACCTTGCGACCTACTGTAACACACGGGGAACATATTCCATGTAATAAATAAACGATATTAAAATACCTTTGTCACTATTTGGGAAACCGTTTCAAAATTTCAGCCTTACTCAAGATTCTTTGTTCTTCTTAAACACACTGCATTCAGGGAAGTGCTTTTATCCTTTTTATACATACTTATTTTAAGTTGGCAGTTATGATTGATGTGAAAAATGTGTAACCGACATATGGCACGATTTCACTTCCACAAAATATTTTTTATCGTAAGATTTGAGGTTTTCACGGCGGTGAGTCTGATGATTGCTATTTTCTGGGTTGTTGCGCCGTGTAGTCTGTAGGGCATGCCCTGATGATGGAGGCAGCAAGGGCCTCTGAAACGTCGGTAAACTTCTACCAGACTAGACGGCGTAAAAACCCAGAAGACAGCCATCTTCATTTTTATATCGTTTATACTATCTTGTTCGTTTCTTCAACACTGGTTCGACAAATTGTATAAACAGCGTGTAAAGACGTCTTGATCAGTCTACTCAACGCAACGCATTGCCCCTGTGTATCATCAGCATTATCCGAAAGTTCCGCAATGCAACTCTCTTTTGTTTAGATTAATGATTCAAAACGGCAAAAGCAACTAAGCGGAAATATGTTTCTAAAAGTCGATGTAGTGCCTGGGACTAGCAAACCGATGGCTAAGATACCTTTTCGTTGGAAAGAATCGTGTTCTTACATTTTAATTTTTCTTAAATTGTTCAAATTATGGCTAGTTTAATAGTCCCACCATTCTAGGCGCGTTTTGCTTGTACCTTTCATAACAGGGAAAAACAGAAAGTGAGTTTTGAAACTTCGGAGGTATCACGAGTCTTTCACGAGATACTAACGAACTAAATTTTTCACTGGTATGTTAATTTCGTCTTAAGGGATTTGTTAATTTACTATATAACTAACGCCATTGAGTAAATTCCTTCTCTAAAAGCTGATAGTCGTTCTCCTCATCAAGAAATTCGTAGCTCATTGTCGAATCCGAATGTTAATTAATGTCTTCACAAAAGCCAACCGCTGTCCTCTAGCCCGAGGTAAATGAATCCATTAATTATTAGGTCTTGTTAGTGACTGCATATTTTCAGGAATAAAACAAAATAAAATCTTATAACAGGTAAGCAGTGTTGACAAGACAACAACTATTAAATGTACACAAATAATAGCGTATTAATTTTGATCATGACTTAACACGTCCTCAAATATTATGCATATTTTAATTACAGGAACAATAATTTGTGTTCTAGAAGTCGCTTTTTACAAATGAGGCAACCCCGCCCATTCGCCTATCAGTTCCATGAAAATGCATGACAAGCCAGAATTCTACATGAAATGACGTCCTGCTCACATTCAGACTGTAGATTGCTGTCTTCTGGGTTGTCGCACCGCGTAGACGTCCACCGATGCTTCATAGCTGATTGCTGTCTCCATCATCGCCCTGCTGATGGAGGCAGTGAGCTCCTATGAAACGTCTGTACACTACCAGATTACACGGTTCAACATCCCACAAAGACAGCCATCTTCATGCTCGCACCCGTCAGAACCTGAAATCTCACTCACAATCTGCTTATCAGTTCTAGTTTTGTGTCTTCTGTCAGGACAGCGTTTCTCACGTAGTATGTAATGTCAGAACGGCAACACACAGGTTTTCTTACAGTAAGATCACTTTCACAACCAAGGCCCTGGCGACCGAGTCATTGCAGTATAACCGTAACATCTGGCGAGAGGATACAGCATAGCTTCGCTTAATTAACGATGCTTTCTCAACTGCTTAAGTTAGACATCGCCCAATGCGTGTATGAATAAGAACGCTGTATTTTAAGCGATAAAAGGAGAAACATCGTAACCTATTTTGTGGTATATTTAGAAGGGACTGAGTAAAACAACGAAAGCCTCTGTCATTTCAGCCGACCTCCAACTCGCAAATTGCGCGGCCGAGAGTATCTTGAGGAATGTTGAACACTCAGCCACAGAGTTGTGTGCCTTATCTGCTATCGAAGAAATTCCTGAGTCTAATTTCAGAACAGAATAACGGCATACGGCCACAGCATCTGGTGTGAAGGAAACGACTTTACAAAAATGTAGGTTAAGTTAGTTTATGTTTTGTTTTCTTAAATGTTCGTTTACATTTTTTGTGAGTCAACAGGCCTATGTGACTTCAGCAGCATACTGGACTGAAAGACCTTCAACCAACCAAGAGGTGGGTCGTGACTCCCAGGGGAGGTCTCAAACATAATCTAGGAGAGGTTTAATTTTTCATGTCTGTCCTGTCGTGATATCCTGAACTCACTACTGTAATAACAGCGCAGGCGATCCTGACAGAGATTTTTCTTCGTTTTCCTCAGTCTCTCCATGAAAATTCCAGCCACAACCGCTTCCTTCCACATCCTTTCCAATTCAATATTCACTACAAGTCTCTTATTCGACGCTATAAAGTATAATGGTTCGCAGTGACCGCGCGGTCTGAGGCGTGGGCCTTGTGCCGCTTTGTCGCTGGGACCGTGGGTTCGAATCCCACTCAAGCCACGGATGTTTGTTGTGCTGTCCTGTGAACAGGTAGAGGCCTTGCGACGGGCCGATCCCTCGTCCAAGGAGTCCTACCGAATGTCTATAGATCAAGCCAACGAAAAGTTGGGACCCGCAGTGCTCAGGCACTTGAAGAACGGGTCGTCCCAGTATCCAGTATATAATCGTTAAATAAACTGTAAATAAATGAATTCATCCACATTAAGGCTAACTATTTACTTCAACACTTTGATTCTAAACGCGTGTACAGATTTTTCTTCCTTTAAAGGCACAGCCCACGTTTAAGAATCATACATAGAAGCACCTCCAAATAAATGTTTAATGTTTTATAAAAAATATGATGACATTTTCAACCTAAAACAGGACTATAGAGGCGTTCTTCACCAAGTCAGCAGTTTGCTTCGTTAATAATCTATTTTATTCAAAACGAATAACATGCAGCAGTTGTGTCAAAGGTCATGGCTGTAATAATGTAATCCGACGTCATTATTATGAACCTTAGCAGACATTTTTGGCACAACGCTGGAGCGTAAAGAATAGCTAATAACCTACATTTCCTGGGATTCGTTTGAAGCAGGTACAAGTTTCAAGTATAATTTTAAAAACGTTATATCTCAAATGTGTAGTCCATTACAATAACGTACACGTAAAACCATTAAAATAAATAAACTACGAATGGAAAAATATTAAAAATTATTATCCTTAGTAATCTGAAATTACAAACCGTACAATGAAGCAGTTAAAATTCGGCTCATAACCTCACACGCGATTTCTCTAAGATTCTACTTAATATTATCCTCCCTTATACTGACAGGTATACCAACTAGTCTCTTCCTTTCGGATTTTTCAAAGATAAGCAATTTTCATCTCTCCATGTGTGCTACATGTCTCATCCATCTTAACTTATTCATTTGATCGCCATAACATAAGTAAATTAGAACAAAGTAAAAAGTTCCTTACTATGTAATTTTCTTTCCTTCCTGTTAATTCTTCGCGTTTATTCCCAAATACTCTTTGTGTTCTTTAACTTCTCAATCTGTGTACGTCCGTAAAAATGTGAGGTCAAGTTTCACGTCAATACAAACCAAAATTAATCAGCAGCACAATATAAAATATTCTGGTTTAATATTCAAATCTGTTTCCACTCACCACACCCACGCGCAGCGCCTTGAGGACTGAGGGCCATCGGACTGCAACAAATGAAATTCTCTTTCAGGATTTGTTTTACACAAATATCTATTCTGAGCTTCGGAACTAAACTAAGATTCTATGTTACTTTTTAATGACCAGAAGTTTAAAAAGAATATTAAACACCACAAATAAGCACAAGCTTATATAATTTGGCTTCCTCCTTTAACAGGGAGCCTTTAATATTCATCGTAACATTTTAAAAATAGAAGAACCATTAATTACGAAGGTAAAAGGCTTAACAGTTTCGTTTATGTTTAAAACTAACACTGAGATTTATACCAGATCATTGTTGTCTGTGTCAGATACTCTAACTACATGCACATCAAAGTTACCATATGGTTCCATGACGTCATCATACGTTAACTCTCAAACTTGGTAGATGTCCAGTGCTAGTTCACCTTCAACCTATCACCAGAGAAATCTCACACTGAAGAAATGAATTGCGTATAACAATGTTCATAATATTTGACTTCCGTCTTCTGCCCTTATCGTAGCGACAATAAAAGCAGTGTTTCGTAGAAAAATCCCGCCTTTTGCTGAAGCCCGGAAGATAAATTAAGCCATTGGGCCCTACTGTGAAAGAGATGAAGCCAGTGCACATCTTGACACTCAACTTTCTTTAGGATTCATTTTAATATTATCATCCAAAATGGTCTCTTCCTTTCACATGTTCCGACCAACACTTTGTATGCATTTTTCGCCTCTCACGTATCTGCTGTATGTCCCAACGTCTCATCTTCCTATCTGTCGAGGATTTACCTGCTGAGAAACATCGCGAAACTTCTGATTACTAACTTTTTTTTGGTGTGTTCTGTCTGACGACAGGTCCATATGAACAGGATCCTTTCATCCTTTTCTCGGACTGGGACCTGTTCATATACGTTCTTGGCAGATGATCCAGAAGGTTTGCCATTGCCTTCTTCTGTGTGTGAATGGAGTAATTGTTGGGATGCCACGGAGAAACCGGGGAAGCACCCGGAAGAAAACTCCGTGTTGCCTAGACCACGGCCTTGCCCAACACAAGTTATAAATTCGGGCACCGCCGGGAATCGAACCCGAGATCCCAGGACCACCGTGGCTATATTACTAACCTATTTGCTTATTTATACTTCAAGTCAGATCTGTTGAGTTAACTGGTTCGGTAATCACAGAGCTTAGTAGAATGACAAATTCGTCTGTGATAAAGAACATGGTTGTTGAATATCTTCGTAAATTTACTGTGCGTTCCAAGCGTTCCGACATTTCAGTGACTTCTCAGTTTGGTGCGGTCTCTAGACGCCCCACACAGGTGCTGCTGTATAGTCATATAAATCAGGAGTTAATGATGCTCCACTGACACAGCGAAGATAATCAATTACCATCTGTATTCTTGAACATCTCTCCTCGTCTCTGTCTGTCTGTCTTGGCACTACGCTCGCCTCAGCTGGAGCACGACAGACTTTCTGTGAAAAAGTGGTTCAAGCTCATTCGATGCGTGTGTAATGACAGGAACAAGTTGATAACTTCGCGTGCTCCTTTCGTTCCAGCTCAGTTGGGTCTTGCTTTATTATTAATTCCTTCCTCACTCTCCTTCTATTTGTTTTCTCTTCTTTTTGATGACATATTTGAAGTGTTTTAACTTGTAAAACGAAACTGAAGTCGTTTCAAGGCATTTTTAGATCAGTCGCAATTAATTCAATTAACTGTTATTTATATTCTTTAATTGGAATTATACAGAAACGACATCACATAATTTTGTCGATGATGAATTTGAAATGTGACAATCATATATGATCTCTGCTGACATTGCTCGGAGGGATTAAACAAAATCCATAAAATGACAAAACAATTCCACAATAAATTACAGCTCGGAAATTATTGAATGAACCATGCAATTGATGATTTTCGTTAGACTATGTTTGCATTATGTAGCAATTTCAATGTTGATAGTTCATACTTATCATTTACTTATAATATGTAATTTAATGTTATTTCACGACTGACTATATTTTTATATTCGATCGATTTGATAGATCGACTTTCTGATGGACAAATTAATTATAAACAGTTTACACAATATAATTAACATGCAAACACTCAACGGTACAATTTATAGATAATTCTTATATGAAATCCAACGCACTAAATAAGTTATCATCCTGGGGTCTCGGGTTCGATTCCCGGCGGTGCCCGAATTTATAACTTGTGTTGGGCAAGGCCGTGGTCTAGGCAACACGGAGTTTTCCTCCGGGGGCTTCCCCGGTTTCTCCGTGGCATCCCAACAATTACCCCATTCACACACAGAAGAAGGCAATGGCAAACCACTTCTGGATCATCTGCCAAGAAAAATATGGAAGGATCCTGTTTTGTAATCCTGGGGTCTCGGGTTCGAATTTATAACTTGTGGTGGTCTAGGCAACACGGAGTTTTTCTCCGTGGCATCCCAACAATTACTTCATTCACACACAGAAGAAGGCAATGTCAAACCACTTCTGGATCATCTGCCAAGAACGTATATGAACAGGTCCCAGTCCGAGAAAAGGATGGAAGGATCCTGTTCATATGGACCTGTCGTCAGACAGAACACTAAATAATAATAATACCAGTACACCTTATTTTTGTTAAATAAGCATTGTTGTAATTAAATTAGCATACGGAAAGATTCTTTTACTGCTGCGATGGGGTGGTCACTTTCTGCGTGGATGAAAGCCTTTAACGGACCCTTTGTCCATCCACTAGATGGCATATAAGTGAATACTGAGCAGCGGTGGAATAATATTGACAGGGGAAAACCGAAGTTTGCAGACAGAAATCTACCCCGGCGTCACTTTGTCCAGCTATGACTCATAAGGCTTCTTTCTCCCTTCTTGGCCTTTCCTTCTGTGAAGTAGCCCAGGTTCGCGGATATTTTGCGTCCAGTACGGACTTTCAAGAAGGATTCTGCTTTATAGAGTGAGTTATTTCGTACTGGTGAAAGTGAATTTTGAAGTAATGACAGGACAGGAGTTTTGTGTGAGGGGAGTTCTGTTCAAAGTTTTCTCCCAATGGGCCGACGTTGGGGATGGAGGCCACTCACAGCCCTTGCTAGGGCCACCAATCTCGCGGGACACACGAGACGGTATTTGGGCTACCGCTCTTGATTTATGGGTTGATAAAGGACTATAATACAGAGACAGGACGTCATATCACTTTTCATGTCGCTTGACTTCAAGAGCCGATGCACCGAAACTGTCACTACCCAGCGTGAAAGCGATGAAGACCACGAAGCAATCGTTATACAATCAATAAAATATTCTCGGGAAATCAGCCGCGTTAACTGATTACCGTAGTAAACCGACGTTTCGGGAACAAACTCTGTCCCCATCTTCAGGGTTCTGATGTGACTGGATCCTCGGAAGTCGCCAGGCGTTTTGAAATAATTGCTCTGTATATGTGTATGGTCGCACAACATTTAAAATTTAATTGGTTACTGTCCACATTTTTGAACGAAAACACATGCACGAGATGAGCTAGAAAGTGCAATAACTACGTCATTAATGTGATTTCAGTCACTTCTATGTGTCAGTTTGCCAGCATGACGTACTCTTGGTCTGAGACGTGATTAAGCCGTGTTAATTGGAGGGTCAGAACGAAGTGACACGTGAGTTTCCGGGGAAGAAGAGGGTTTGATGCAATTCCCTTGTTACCTCGTCCCTGTCTCTCCTCCCCTGATCAATCCCCTCGGGTTCTTCTTTGACGATTATTAACGTTCAAATGTTGGAACAGCTATCAAAAGATCTCGCATAACATTTTAGTCTTTAGTGTTATAAAATTGCTCTGTGCTACATTAAGTAGTAACACTTGACTGTGAATATTAAATGATTGTTATGACATCTTTATGAATGTTACTTTAATATAAGATGATCTTAATTCTGTTGGAAAGTGTTTTGTTACTGTTATTTTAAATGTGATAATATTAAAAAATTATTTCGTATGCAAACATTTTAGATATACTTCATATAACTTCCGACAAGGAAGATATTTACAGGAGTGATGAAGTTCTATAAACGTTACCTAAATCTCTTGTGGAGAATAACAGAAACAAATCCATTCAGAATCAATTTTTTCCATGTAGACAGAAGATGGCGAGTGACTGAAAATTACGGAATTTAATAAAGATCAAATCTAAAAACGCAGGAACAATTAAAGGATGAAAATAAAGAGGTTTTAATTTCTAACTGCGGTTACGTTGAAGTTGGTCTTTTGGGTTGTAATACCGTGGGGAATTATAGGTAGATACCAAGGTTTCGGGGAACATACTGCCTCTATCTTCAGGGCTGAAACTGCTTACAAATCTTCGCGGCTTTGCAACCCTAATATCAGTATCGACAAGCAACGAAATATAGAGATAAGGAACGAGATGAATAATGGAAAAAGAAGGGAAATGATAGAAGGAATGGAAAAAGGAAGTATACAAAACAAAATAAGACGTCTGATCACGTCTTATAACAGTAAATCACTGTATTTTTGTGAATGCAATACCAACATGCAGTAGGTCAGCGATGTAAGCTATCACGCATCATGCTTTCCAATGAAACACGGATCTTCGGGTTTCTAAACGTGTGCCAGAAATAACTAATATTTCTTGGTGCTTGTAGAATCTCCAACTGTCCGCAGAGGGCTACACTCCGTGTTTCCCCGTAGAATCCTGTATTACACGCATTAAATAAATTCTAGACATGCTATAAATCTGAAGGAATATGAGCAAGCTCTGGGCTTCTATTGTCGTGAAGACAGAAGATGCTTCTGCAGGAATGACTTCCATAGCTCTTGGTGATGAGGAATTCAGAAGGAAATACGCTAAACCACTTTGTCACTTTTCCTTCTACACCACATCGTATCTTGTTAAAACGCTGTATTTCTCTCCCTTCTTCTTATTTCTTTCTTTCTCTTATCCTTCATGTGCCTTTTACTCTATCTTCCTTCTTCTTCTGTATTCAGGAGAACTTGAGGACATAATACTTGGAAGAAATTTCATAAA